CTAAACCCTAAAGCCTAAACCCTAGAGCCTGAACCCTAAACCCTTAAACCCTAAACCCTAAAACCCTAAACCCTAAACCCTAAACCCTAAACCCTAAACCCTAAACCCTAAACCCTAAACCCTAAACCCTAAACCCTAAACCCTAAAACCCTAAACCCTAAACCCTAAACCCTAAACCCTAAACCCTAAACCCTAAACCCTAAACCCTAAACCCTAAACCCTAAACCCTAAAACCAGGTCTACGCTTGCCTCTTCCTCTGCTCTCTCGAAGCCGAGTACAAGCATGCCACCAACGACTGGCCCTTCTATCTACGAAGGTACATAGATGACGGAGTGGGCATTTGGACAGGTACACGAGCAGGCCTCGAACGATGGCTCCGAGGATACGGCACGCTGTGTCCTTCGATCAAGATCACCTCGGTGATCTCGCTCGAAGAGTTGGATATCCTCGATATCCACTTCTTCAAAGGCCCTCGCTTTGAAGAGACAGGCTGCCTCGACTCGTCCACGTTCCAGAAGCCGCTCAACGCCTACCAGTACCTCCCCTGGACGTCGGTTCACCCACGGCACCAAAAAGTGGCATTCATCCGCAGCGAGCTCCGGAGATACCTCCTCCGCGAGAGCACGGCCGATGGATTCCACGCCATGCGCACGCGGTTCTACCACCGCCTCCGTGCCCGAGGATACCCGACCTCCTTCCTCCACCACTGCTTCTCCGGCATCTCCTATGACCAGCGACATCAAGCTCTCCTTGCACGTTCGCGCCGCTCTAGCGACGCCTGTCGACGGGCCCCCCTCGCCTTCAAGCTGCCCTACACACTCCACAGTGCGCAGCTAGGCTTGGGGGACATCCTAAACCCTAAACAGGTGATGGATGAAGCTCCCACAGACACACTCCCTCGAGTGATCACGTGCTGGAGACGCTCCCCGAACCTCGGTTCGTTTCTGGTCAGGGCTAAGCTCCCTCCGCGAGCTTAGCCACGTCTTGTACCGCACTTTGCAAGACACGGAAGCTTATGTTTGCATCCTTCTCCGCGTACTCGATGACTCCCAGGGTCTGGCCGATGGACTTCAGGTATGTCCCAAGTCACTCCAGGCCACCCCCCTTCCGAGTCAACGCCCGGTCAACGCGGAGTCAACGGTCAGAACGGAATATTCCCCAATATTCCGACTGTATCCCTGTTGACCGAGTCAAAACGGCATATACCGTTGGATTCTGCTCTTCCTTCCGATCGTGAATATGTGAGTTTCAACTCTGAACTCCACACACGACTCGTGGAAAAGCATGTTTTCCGTTCAAACGGTGCCGTTCCCTCGACATCGGCGACAAATGCCGACAGCCCGCAGGATGGCTCTCCCCCATGTAACCGCTGGACTCCGGGTATGTATGAGTGACCTCAGGCCCTCCACTATCCCAGTCCACACACGGTCAACGCGGGGTCAACGGTCAACGACCGAATATTCCGAGAATATTCCCTGCAAAGTGAACCACGTTTTTCGTCGCTGGGTACGCACAAGTGACACAAGCATTGTGGACGTAATGCATGCATCATATCATGCCACGTTTACAAGTTATCTTGCGTCAAAGGTACGTCACCCGCCGGACGAACGCTTACTGTCTTCGGCGATCCGCCGAAGTCATTCTCCGCGACTACCACTGCTGTGGAGTCACCAACCCCAGCTGTGCTACGTTCGCATCCTCGCGAGCCAACGCCGTCATGCACTTCGCATGGCTGCCACTCGGACTCGCGCCACGTGACAGAGCCAGAATATAAGTAGAGTCGGCGCCGAGCTAGGGTTAGGGTAGACGTTAGACGACTACACCCGGCTGATGAGTCCCAAAAAGGACGAAACCGGTCTCGGGTTGTTGTAAGCGACTAATTTTTCCATTCTACTTTAGTCACTTAACCACACCTCCGACCGCTTGGAGGAGTCTCATTCACAACCTCCATAAGTCCCATTCAGGACTTGGGGCTTGCTAGCCCCGAGAATGGCATCCATGCCACTCAACCTTTGCACTTGGTCCAAATGCTCCACGTGTCAGATCCCATGACCGACACTCAAAGGTACCACTGACATAGCAGCCCGTTACGCTAAGGCTATGCCCAATCACCTTTGCCACACTGGTAGTCCAATACCACTTGCATCACAGTCTTGGCTCCCCAAGACTAGGCAAACCATCCGTGAGTGGTCATCTCAGATCCACTCCTTAGCATCCTTAGGATGCCCACCGACAAGGGGAATAGCCTTCCCCAATATCCCTCTGTCAGTCCCCACTAAGTCCCTTTCTGCCCCTGGCCGTGTTTGCCAACACTGCCACTGGACCGAGACCCACAGGCCCGACCGCTAAGTCCCACGGTCCTCTGGGACTTCCTCACCACACGACTGTGTCCTTGGTCACTACCCTAGAGGACTTCTCCTCTTCCTTTCCACAGTCTGGGCCTTTGGGACAACATTTCGGAACACCGTGGCCTTACGCGAGCCACCTGGGTACTCTCCTCGCCTTCTGCCCTTGGGTGCTCTAGCCATGGGCTTAGAGCGGGTTCCGTTGAGCCACACCAGGTATCCAAGTAGGTAGTGCCACCCACACTTGGACTGGGAGCATCGGCCAGTCGATCTCCCGGGGGAACTAGAGCCGGCTCTTGAACACTTCACCAAGCTACCCCGCTTGTCGGTCTGTGTTCACTCTAGTCTTGGACTTCCCAGTGGGCAGCTCATCACCCAACACTGGGTCCGGCCTTCCTGGGCCAAACTGGCCTTTCCTGGCCAAACTGGCTCCACTGCAGTCCTCCCCCTACTATACTTTTGGGGCTCACCAAACCCCCCAGGGTCTGGGAGACGAACGCTTTGGGCTTTCACCCTCTCAGGCTCCGGACTCGGACTCGAACTCAGACTCGGACTCGGACTCGGACTCGGACTCGGATTCGGACTCGGACTCGGGCTCGGGCTCGGTCTCGGCCTCGGCCTCGGTCTCGGTCCCGATCTCGGTCTCGGTCTCGGTCTCAGTCCCGGTCCCGGTCTCGGTCTCGACTTCGGACTCCATCTCGGACTCCATCTCGGACTCCATCTCGGATCCATCTCGGGTCCATCTCGGACTCCATCTCGGGTCCATCTCGGACTCCATCTCGGACTCCATCTCGGACTCCATCTCGGGTCCATCTCGGACTCCATCTCGGACTCCATCTCGGACTCCATCTCGGGTCCATCTCGGACTCCATCTCGGACTCCATTTCGGGTCCATCTCGGGTCCACCTCGGACTCCATCTCGGACTCCATCTCGGGTCCATCTCGGACTCCATCTCGAGTCCATCTCGGACTCCACTTCGGACTCCAACTCGAGTCCATCTCGGACTCCACTTCGGACTCCAACTCGAGTCCATCTCGGACTCCACTTCGGACTCCAACTCGAGTCCATCTCGGACACTCCCACGTGTCATGTGTTGGTCCTTTTGGGTCCCTTTTTGGAGCCTTGCCTTTTGCTCGCTTCGTGCTCGTTCCTCGAGCACTTCGTTGGGAGTTCCATTCCCGCTCTTGACTTTTCAAGTCGGAGCTTTTGGTCCAAACGTGTTACGCTCTTTTGGCTCTCGCTTCGGCCACTACCATGTGGCGCCCTTCCGGCTCCACTTTGGGGCCTAGGGATTTTGTGTCTCACAACTCCACCACCCATAGACGAAGTTCGATGTCCTCATCGAACGGTAAACCATTTTGTAAAGTAACACCCATATGTGTTACCATTTCCATCCTTGGCACCTAGCCAATATTTGTCAATGGTTTGACATTGAAGGCTCACCATGCCTTTTGCATATGCCTCCATGGTTTGACACCAAAGGCTCACCATGCCTTGCCTATCCTCTAAGGAGGGTAGTCTCCCCAACTTAGAGACTGATTGGACCACAAGGATTGGTTCTCTCCTTTTATTGGTTTAGTTCTCGCTAAACCTCTTAGAGACCCTTCTCTAAGTCAAACCCACTACTCCTTCTCGAGTAGTCTCAATTTCCATCGATATAACCTTTGCACTTTGGAACTTTGAATTTTG